AATTCAACTTGCAAGGAAAAAAGTGGAAATTTTATAGATAATTTTACTACTTTCATTGTTGATTATAATGCAACTTAAAAAAATCACTTCAGAAATTTATAAACTCCTAAAACTCATTATTTAATTCAATGAATTTAATCTTGAGCCCTATTCTACTTGAAATAAAAAATATAGGTTGAGAATAAAAAGTGTTCTTATCTCTTAGAAATACAAATAAATTATTTATGGATAAATTATAAGGAGTGGATGGTTGGCAAATTCACCTGTAAAACAATCCCGGTTTGTAGCCTTTTGAGAGTTAGGGAGTTTGGTTTTTAATTTCCATCCCAATTTCAATAGTTACTCGTCTATTCAAATTTTTCATTTCTTTTTATTTGTCAATTTTACGTTTCTATATCTCCAGATACAAATCTAGTTTGTTTAGGTTTTTTAAATACTATAAATGTATATTCCTATTTTATAATGAAAATATACAGAAAAAAAGCTATTGAAATTACAACCAAACTATAACTTCATGAAATCCAATTTGACCCATGTGTCAGTATTTTAAGACAAAATTAGTTTGAAAAAATATACACCACTATCCATACTTTCTCTTGAAAAAAATCCACATATACTTGGCAATCATCAAAAGCTATCAACCTATAAAAGCAGTAGGGAAACTTTTTCTTGCTCTCTCCTTAACAAGAGATTTCTTCTCTTTTCCTTTTGGGAAATTTTTATTTTTATTTTTTTTTCAATTACAGTTGACATTCAATATTATATTTGTTTCAGGTATACAACATTAGACATTTACATAACTTACGAGATAATCCCTTGATAAGACTAGTACCGATCTGAAACCACACAGTTATTATAATATTATTGACTGTATTCCCTATGCTGTACTTTACTTCCCCTTAACTATTTTGTAACTGCCAATTTGTATTTCTTAATTCCATCACTGTTTTCACTCATCTCCCCAACCTTCCTCCCATCTGGTGACCATCGATTTATTCTCTGTATCTATGATTGTTTGTTCATTTGTTTTAGATTCCACATATAAGTGAAATTACATGGTATGTCTTTCTCTGACTTATTTCACTTAGCATAATACATTCTAGTCCCAACCATACTGTCACAAATGGCAAGATTTTATTCTTTTTTATGGCTGAATAATATTCCACTATATATATATGTACCACCTCTTCTTTATCCTTTCATCTATTGATGGACATTTAAGATTGCTTTCATAGCTTGGCTACTGTAAATAATGCTGCAATCAACATAGGGATGGATGTAACTTTTCAAATTAGTGTTTTCAATTTCTTCAGATAAATACCCAGAAGTGGAATTGCTGGGTCATATGATAGCTATAGTTTAATTTTTTTAAGGAACCTCAATACTGTTTTTCACAGTGGCTGCACCAATTTACAATCTTAACAGTGCATGAGGGTTCCCTTTTTTCCATTTCCTCGCCAATATTCATTGTTTGTTGATTTATTGCTGATAGCCATTCTGATAGGTGTGAGGTAATCTCTCACTGTGGTTTTGATTTGCATTTCCCTGAGGATTAGTGATGTTGAGCATCTTTTCACGTCTATCGGCCTTCTATATGTCCTCTTTGGAGAAATGTCTGTTCACGTTCTCCGCCCATTTTTTTAATTGGATTGTTTTTCTCATGTTAAGTTGAATGAGTTACTTATAAATTATAGATGTTAATCCCTTACTGAATGTATCATTGGAAAATATCTTCTCCCATTTGGTAGGTTGTCGTTTCATTTCATTGATGGTTTCCTTTGCTGAGCAAAAACTTTTTAGTTTGATGTAGTCCCATTTATTTTTTTCATTTGTTTCCTTTGCCCAAGGAGATATAGCCAAAATATATGTGCGTGTGTTTTGTGTGTGTGTGTGTGTGTGTGTGTGTATTACTAAGAGCAATGAAGTTTGTTTTCTTCTAGGACTTTTATGGTTTCAGGTCTTATATATTTGTCTTTAAGCCATTTTGAGTTTATTTTTGTATATGGTGTAAGAGGGTAGCCTAGTTTCATTTTTTGAATGTTATCTGTCCAGTTTCCCCAACACCATTTATTGAATAGACTGTCTATATCTCATTGTATATTCTTGCCTCCTTTGTCATAGACTGACCATATAGGCATGAGTTTAATTTTGGGTTATTTTGATCTAGGTGTCTGTTTTTTATGCCACTACCATGCTGTTTTGATTACTATACCCTTGTAGTATAGTTTGGTATCAGGTAGCATACCACCTCCAACTTTGTTGTTCTTTCTCAAGACTGCTTTGGCTATTTAGGATCTTTTATGGTTCTGTGTAAATTTTAGCATTATTAGTTCTAGTTCTGTGAAAAGTGTCATTGGTATTTTGATAGGGATTACACTGAATCTGTAGATTGCTTTGGGTATTATGGACATTTGAATGTTAATTCTTTCTATCCATGAGCACAGTATAACCTTACATTATTTGTATCTTCTTCAATTACTTTTTCAATGTCCAATGTCTTCAATATCTTCTACTTTTCCAAATACGGGTCTTTTACCTCCTTGCTTAAATCTATTCATTGGTATTTTATTCTTTTTGATAAAACTGTAAATGGGATTTTCTTAATATCTCTGATATTTTGTTATTGGTATATGGCAATGCAATTGATTTCTGAATATTAATTTTGTATCCTAACTTACATAATTCGTTTATTAGTTCTAATAGTTTTTTGGTGGAATCCTTAGGTTCTCTATGGATAGTATCATGTCATCTGTGAATAGTGACGGTTTTACCTCTTCCTTTCCAATTTAGATGCCTTTCTTTTTTGTCTGACTGCTATGGCTAGAATTTCCAATACTATGTTGAAAAAAATAGGTCAAAGGGGACATTCTTGTCCTGTTTCTGACCTTAGAGAAATGCTTTTAGCTTTTCCTCATTGAGTATGATGTTAACTGTGAGTCTGTCATAAATGCCCTTTATTATGCTGAAGTATGTTCCTCCTATCCCCATTTTGCTGAAAGCTTTTATCGCAAATGGATGCTGAATTTTGTCAAATGTTTCTTCTGCATCTATTGAGATAATCACACAATTTTCACTCTTCAGTTTGCTTATGTAGTATATCACATTAACAGATTTGCAGACAGTAAACCAAACTTGCATGCCAAGAATATAACTCACTTGATTGTGCTGTATGATCTGTCTGATGTATTGCTGAATTCAATTTACTAGTATTTTGTTGAGGATTTTCTAGGTTCATCAGAGATATTGGCCTATAGTTTTGTTGTTGTTGTTGTTGTTTTGTAATGTCTTAGATTTGGAATCAGGGTTATGCTGGCCTCATAAAATGAGCTTGGAAGCCTTCCCTCCCCTTGAATTTTTTGAAATAGTTTGAGAAAGACAGGTGTTAATTCTTCTTTGAATCTTTGGTAAAATTCACCTGTGAAGCCATCCAATACTGGACTTTTGTTTGCTAGGAGGTTTTTGATTACCAATCTGATTTCATTAGTAGTAACTAGTCTCTTTAGATTTTCTATTTCTTCTTGATTCAGTCTTGGAAGACCATATGTTTCTATGAATTTATACACTTCTTCCAAACTGTCCAATTTGGGGTATATAACTATTTGTAGTATTTTCTTATAATCCTTTCTATTTCTGTGGTGTCAGTTGTCACTTCTCTTTAATTTCTGATTTTATTTATTTGGGTCCTCTTTTTTTTCTTTATGAGCCTGGTTAAGGGTTTATCGATTTTGTTTATCTTTTGGTTTTGTTAATTGTTTCAACTGTTTTTGTAGACTCTAGTTCATTTATTTCCACTCTGATCTTCATTATTTCCTTTCTTCTACTCCCTTTGGGCTTTGTTTGTTGTTCTTTTTCTAGTTCATTTAGATGTAAGGTTAGATTATTTTAGATTTTTCTTGTTTGAGGTAGGCCTGCTGCTATGAATTTTCCTCCTAGGACTGCTTTCACACTGTCCCATAGATTTTGAGTCACTGTGTTTTCTTTCTCATTTGTCTCACGGTATCATTTCATTTCTTCCTTGATTTCATTGTTAACTCATTCATTATTTCGTAGCATGTTATTTGGCCTCCATGTTTTGTGTGTTTTTGTTTTCTTCTTGTAATTGATTTCTAGCTTCATACCATTGTGGTCAGAGAAAGTGCCTGGAATGACTTCAATCTTCTTAAATTTATTGAGACTTGAAGCCTAACATGTCATCTGTCCTGGAAAATGTTCCATGTGCACTTGAAAAGAATGCATATTCTGCTGCTTTGAGGTGAAACACTCTAAAAATACCAATTAAATCTTTCTGGTCTAATGTGTCATTTAAGGTCGTTGTTTTCTTATTGGTTTTGTCTGAAAGATATACCCCTTGATGTCATAGGGTGTGAAAGTCCCCTACTAAGACCATGTTACTGTCGCTCTCTCCTTTTATGCACGTCAATATTTGCTTTATATATTCAGGTACTCCTATGTACGGTGCATAAATGTTTACAGGGTTACATCCTCCTGCTGGGAACCCCATCCAATTTCAATTTGGTTAAAGAGAAATGTTCCCTGGGTGAGCCATCGAGAGCAGTTCATTGGGTTCTATTAAGGAATAGAAGCAGCTAAATGTTTTCCCCTAATAAAAGATTTCAATGAATCAGGTTATCATTATTAACCTCGATCTTCAGATGATGAAACTGAGACAGAACAGTTTACTCAGCCAGTCTCGTTCCATAACCAATGCTTATGTCTCTATATTATTGTGCATCCAATACACTAAATTGACAAAGACAAAAATATGGTAAATCAAAATATGTAATCAGCTATGTCTCCTAGAAGTCATATTACAGGTCACTAAAACAAATCATTTTGTCAGCTTAATATTATTCTTTTGACATGAAGGCTATGATTCAGTATTTAGTCACTGTTTCAAATATGCTTTGAACATTCTGTCCTAAACAGTTACCTATGAAATAACAAATCACCAGGAAAACAACAAATCTCTTGTTCGGATTTTGTGGTATCTGTGCTCCTACCTGACACTGGTTAATAGCTGCATGGTTGCCATGGAATGGAGACTGTCTTTCTTTATCTCGATGATGCCGACTGCTGTGTTTACTTCTCTGCAACTGCTGGCGTAATTTTGCAATCTGAAAAGGGAGGAAAAAACAAGTGCATCAGAGTGTTTTCCACACTACATAAAGCATATCCTTGCTTAATAAAAACCAGTAAAATTCAGCCTTAATAAATCGTTTGAATTTTTAAACCATATCACAAAATCTGATTTATTATACAAAATTTATATATAGACACAAACATATACACACACACGTATATGTTTATCTTTCTTTTAAAGACAAACGAAATTACGTTCTAACACTGTTTGAGCTTTCAAGCCTCCCAAGTACTAAACAAATGAAGTTTTCAGCATTTAGAATAAATTATATTATAGCTTCCACAAAGAATTCAAAAAGAATAATTATTCTCTCATTGCCTTTACAAGTCACATTTTATTTAGATTTAGATTTATGAAATACCTAGCCTCCAACAACTCCAAAAATTAAACAGTATTTAAAAACCAATTCAAGCTATGAAATGCATTCATGAACACAACCTTTAAATAACAAATACAATTTTAGTCAGTATCCCATATTATTCCTTGACTGAACTTTTCTGTTTTATTTCTATATTATGTGTAAAATGCAAATATCCTGATTAGAGGCACAAGAAATGGTAATCGCAACATAGAGGCATAACCAACTTCGTTATATTGGGTTACTAGATTTGAGAAACACTGCCATTATATATAGAAATAATAAATATGAATCTGTTGTATCACTACAAAGTTTATACATCTGACATTTATATTAACAGGTACAGACTCATTTAAAAAAAGACAAACACATAATCAGATAAGTAATGTGAACATTTCTCCATTCAAATCTTTATCCAATCGACATAATAACTGTTCTTCTGTTATTTCTCAAGTAAATAAACAACAAAAAGAAAACCACACATACAATGGAAACTGACAAATCCCCACTGCCCACAACTCCAAGGAATCAGCCAACGATGAAATCTAATTTCTACACCCACTTTCTTGGAACCATTTTCCTGACCTCCTTCAGTTGATCTGTACTGCCCCAGGATGCTGAACGCTTATGAGACCCTTTTTTCTTTTCAGAGTATTCTTCAGCCCATGCGGTCTCTGTCTATAATGGGAAAAAGTAAGGAGAGGTTTTTAATAAAACAGTTAATCATTTAACAATAATGTATTACAACATATGTGATAACATAGATGGACCATGAAGGCATTCTGTTAAATGAAATAAGTCAGACAGAGAAAGACGTATACTGTATGGGTGTCACTTACATGTGGAATCTAAAACAAACATGGAAAAATAGATCAGATTTGTGGTTACCAGAGCCAGGGGGTGGGTTGGTGGGGGAACTGGATAAAGATGATCAAAGGTACAAATTCCAGTTATAAGATAAATAAGTACTAAAGGTGTAATGTACAACATGATGGTTATAATTAACAATGTTATATATTTTAAAGATGCTGAGAGAGTAAATCCTAAAAATTCTCATCACAAGAAAAAAATTTCATAACTATATGAGGTGATGGATGTTAACCAAATTTATAGTGGTAATCATTTCTCAATTTATGTATGTAAAGTCATTATGCTGTACACCTTAAACTTATTCAGGGCCATATGTTAATTAGATCTCAATAAACCTAAAAAAAATTCCCTTTCTAAAGAATAACATATACTTTACTTTTCTATTATAAAATACATTCCCATTATAAAAAAAATAGATACTAGAAAATATTTTAAATGATACAAATTACCCACAATTATCCCAGCACCAGTTACTTAATTATAATACTTAGCCTATTTCATTTCTATTACTAATAAAAATTAGTTGTATTATTTTTACATAATTATAGCATTTATTGAACAAATACATACTAATGATAGCTATGATCTCATTGTGTGCTAGACACTGTGCTTTATAAAAGTACAGTGAAGGGTGTTCATTGTATATCTGATTTAATACACACAAGAAGTTCTACAGGTTTTGGAGACAGGGAAGCTATGACAAGATGTTAGATAAATTGCCTAAAGTCTTACAGCTAGGAAGTGGCAAAGCCAATACTGAGACTCCAGAGTTCATAATCTTAACCCCTATACTATGCCCTGTCTTGCTTTAAAATAATTGCAAAGAGTAGCCTCAAAAATGTTATATCTTTAATGGCGATACAAAATCCAGAATTTAAAAGAGTATCAGGGAAAAAAATTTAAAATGAGTTCTTGGCACATGAAAACACGCTCAACCTCACCCATAATAAGAGAAATGCACGTTAAAACACTGATACTGGGAGATGTGATAACATACACTCCCCTACACTGCTGGTGGGAATGAAAATTAGTGCAGCTCTTATGGACAGGGATTCAACAACTGCCGTCAAAGTTACAAATATATCTGTTTGACAGAGCAATCTCTCTCTCTCTCTAGGTAATTTATCCTTCAAATGTACAAATTGTATATCGCAAAATGATGTATCATATATTATTCCCTAAAGAACTGCTTTTACAAGTAAAAGATTAGAAGAAATAAATAGAGGATTGGCTAAATAAGTTACAATATATCTTTACAACAGAATACTATGCAACTATAAAAAACTAATAAGGAAATGAACAATGTACTGATAACAAAATAATCTCCATGAGATACTGTTAAGTGAAAAACTCCAGGCAGTATGTATAGCAAATACCTTTATATAGGATTGCTAGAAAGAATATATACATGTGTAAATTATCTCTGGAAGAATATAAATGGTTGTGAAAGAAAATGGTATTATTAGCTGATCCTTCACTGCATATCCTTAATACCTCTTGAATTTTGTGCTATATGAATGAATTTAAAACAATACCTCTCTATATATAAGGAGGGAAAAAATTTAGGATAGGCTGGAATCTTTCTACAAGAATAGAATGATGTCCTTAAGTGAAAAATAAGGTTACAAAAGAATGTAGAAAACATACTATCAAGTGTTTATGCAACCTCCAGGAAAATAACTATTTTATAGGGGAGGATCAACAATGGATATTAAAACCATTAAGTGAAAAGTTACAAGGGAACAGGATATTCATACAGTGCAAAAAAGTACTCCACAGATTGCTGGCTAATTGCAGAAGGAAAAAGCATCTTCTTTACATAGGATACATAGGATAATTCATAAAATTACATAAAATAACTTTATGTTATTAAGATTTAAAGAAGTATGAGAACAAGCTGTTCTAAAGTAAAAGAGACTAAAGAGAAACCAAGTACAATGAATGAATTTCAGATTAGATCCTGGTGCAAAAAGAAAAAGAAAAAAGAAAAAGAAAGAGATCACGGGGAAATTTTAACATGGACTAGATGTTACATGAAAATTATTAATTTTCCAAGGTGAGCTAATGTTACTGTAGTTAAGCAGGAAGGACCTCTCTTTTTAAAAGATACATGTTGAAGAATTTAGGAATAAAGTATATGATATCTGCAACATACTTTCAGAAAGAGGAGTAAACACATACAGACACAAATACCGGTAAAGCAAATATGGCTGTTTAATACTGTTGAATCTAATAATAACTGCAGTACTCTTTCAATATTTTTTGTATGTTAAACATTTTCTTCGTAAAAAGTTAGAGGGGAAAAAACAATATTAAGTCATATCGACTGATATTTATAAAATCTATTTAGGACAATTCCGTAACAAATACTTCCATCAAATAGTATTAGACCAAAAATAAATGCAGAAAGAATGACAACAGAGTTAAAAAATCATCATTTGGAACTATTACAGTAATTGTTGATTTAAGCAAGAATCATCAACAAATGCTAAAACCAATGGGTGAAAGGTTGTTGGAGAACAGGTTATTTACATTTTCAAATATTTCCCCACATACTACTGATTAGTTACAAAGGAATCCAGTGGATCAATACATCCCTGATAACATGCACCTGTTGATGCACATACACAGAGAATACACATCAAATACAATATTCCTGCCAAAAATGTAATAACTTGTATCTAATAGTGGAAAACAAAAAATAAAAACCCAAATTGAGAAGATTCAACAAAAATACTGGCTTCCATTCTTAAAAAGTATCAATGTCATGAAAGACAAAGAAAAACTGTGAGATTGTTCCAGATTAAAGGATACTAAAGAAACATGACCTCTAAATGCCATGTGAATTCCCTGACTGGATTTGGGCTTATAGGAGAAACTGCTACAGAGAACATTATTGGAGAAACTGAAAAAAATCTATATATGTACGACATATTAAATAATAGTATTGCATCTATGTTAAATCCCCTGAATTTGGTAATTATATTGGTAATATTTTTTAAGTCCTTGTTCACATACATGCTGAAATATTTAAAGTCCGAATGTCTGCACTTTACTAACGATTAGCAAAAAACAATATTAATATAATAACAATTATATGTATAAAGCATAATATGGAAAAATGTTCTTGCAACTTTTCTATAAACTTGAGACATTTTTCAAAATAAAAAAGTTTTTAAATAGGTGAATTATTGATTAATTTTAAGTATAAAAATTAATTCAAAAAAGCCAAGGAATTGAAAGCTTCCTATAGATTTAAGAACAAATTAAAGATGAGAACAGAGTATTAATTAGCAAGACAAAAGTAAGCATAAAGAGCAATAGACAGCTTTGCTAATTTCAGTAATAAGATGTTCAGAGAGGAAATAATACTTAGCAAAACTCATTAATTTTACTTAAATTCCTAATTCAAAAGATAATTGCTTTCTTTATTCAACTAAGAAGCTGTGCCATTATAAGTCACTCTTGCTTTCTAATAAAAAGTAAAATTGAGTTCTTTTGAAATTATTTTAATTAGTTTATATACAATATTGTATTAGTTTCAGGTGTACAACACTGAGTGATTCAACATTTATATAATTTACAAAGTGATCATCACAATAAATCTAGTAACCATTTGTCACCATACATAGTTATTATGATGTTACTGACTCTAAGTTCTAATTAACTAGATTTCAATTTTATTCAGTCTTGTATCGTATACAGGAAGCTATTTAACATCTACTCATGTGTCTGGCACTGGACTGGGTACTGGGGTTAGAGAGGAAACACAGTTTCTTGCAAAGAACTTTTTCTAAGAGAGAAAGGATAGCCAATTTACAATATTGTGTGATAACAGAGGTCCCCTGAGAAAGGTACCTATCCTAGAACTGGAAGGACAGGGGAAGTAGGTAGGCAAGATTTTATGGAATGGGGGGAGGTTACTATGAGGATTAGAGTATAAATTATCTAGGCAAATGGTAGGAAAGCATTCCAAACAAAACAAAATTCTCAGAAGCATCAGTGAGTGAACTTGCTGAGGGCACTGCAAGTTCATTATTGAGAATTGGGGTATATTTTCAAAATTATTTTTAATAAGTAAAAAATATCAGTTACACAATCAAGAAACTGTATTTGTTTTAAAGGATTCCATGATGTAACTCTCCATTTGTTAAATTACAACCCAACCCGCTTAAAAAACAATGTCTGATCAAATGTAAAAAGAGAAAAAACAGGAACATGATTCAAGTGGTAAAGTATCTAGAAATTTAGATTATTTCAGAATCCTAGGCTTACCCAAGAAAGGCAAAGCTATTGAGAGGCAACTAAGTATAGAGCTTGTACTGAGGTCATTAGATTTAAGTCTAAAAAAAAAAAAGATTTTAACATTCCCTTTACTCTTAATATTACATTCCAATTTTAACCAGTGGATCGAAGTTTTATTCAAAATAGCAAGAGTTACCTGACGGTAATTTTTTTCAAAGAAATCTAAATCATCTCTTCAATACTTTCATAATGCGAAGATATATATTTTTTAGTGTTGCTTATGTCTCTCAAACATGTAAAATAGTTATTTCATTTTTTGCTATAAATTCTAGATTCTTCAAAAAAAAAAACACAAACCCCTAAATAAGTTTGTAGACTTATAAACAGCTACCTTCAGTAATTCAACATTATTTTAGTCTCTAATTTACCAAATATTTAATTTGATTAGATTTTAACCACAGGCCATCTTACAAAGTTTCTGAACTTGGATCACGATTTTAAGGCAACATATAAAATGAAAAACAAAAACCTTTAATGAGCTATTACTCAAAATCGACCTCTGAAGAGGAAAATATAGCCTCTCAAATTTAGGAGTTATGAGAGAAAACAAGGTTTTTTAAAGCTAAAGAAGATTGGTTTATGCAATCAAGAAAACAAACAAAAGAAATAAGAAAACTAGATACAATCACACAAATCACAATTCACATACTCAAGCCACTTGTAAAGCAGCTTAGGAGTTTAGGAAAGTTGAGAAGAGAATACATTTTGTCAAAAGAATGCCAAATACTCCAACCACACATACACATTACAGAGTCTCCCCCTAAACTGATATAGTCAGGAGTGGTGACATGATATGACTTGTCAAAGTCTACAGCAACTTTCTGGAAGCATCGCCTAGAATATAAGATAAATTATTTCCATCATCTGCTGTAATCTGGAACAAGAGTAATAAAAGTGCCCTGGACCCCTCAGCGGGGACAGAAATTGCTAATAAGTCCCAGTAATCTTTAGCTAGAATCTTTTTCAACATAATGCTCTAGGTAGCTAACAGCAATTGACAAACTAAACATGACATGAAACCTACATGTCATCCTTGTTCTAATCAGACAATAATCAAAGCTAATAATTTTAATAGCAAGCATTTACTAAATGTTTACTATGTGCCAGAAACTGTTCTGAGTGTTTGACATACATTTCCTTGTTTAATCCTCATAATAACCTTAAAGAATAACTATTATCTCTCCCATTTTACAAAGGGGAAAGAGAGGCACAAAGATGTTAAGAAAGTACCTGAACTTCAAAGAAGATATACAAATGGGCAAAAAGCACATGAAAAGAAGCTCAACATCTTCAATCATTAGGGAAATAAAAATCAAAACCATGAGATACCATGAGATACCATTTCATACCTACCAGGATGGCTATAATAAAAAAGAAAGAAAATAACAAGTGTTGGTGAGGATATGGCAAAATCGGAGCCCTTATACATTGATGGCAGGAATGTAAAATGGTGCAAGTGCTGTACATCAATGCTCATTTTAGCACTGTTCACAATAGCCAAAATTTATAAATAACCCATATGTCCATAAACAGATAAATGAATAAACAATATGTGATATATCTCCATAAACAGAATATTATTCACCCATGAAAAGAGATGAAGCTGTGATACAACATGGATGAATCTTGAAAACATTATATTAAGCAAAATGACCCAGATATAAAAGGACAAATATTTTATGACCCCATTTACATGAAATTCTAGATTGGGCAAATTCATAGAAACGAAGTTGAAAAGTGGTTATCAGGGGCTGCAGAAAAGACAAGGAGTTACAGAATTTCTGTTTGGGTAAGAAAAATGTTTTGGAGATAGTGGGGATAGTTGCACAACACTGTGAATGTAATCAGTGCCACTAAATTGTACACTTAAAAATGATCAATTAGAAGACATTACTCCCCTCATGTAAAACCTCTGTACTCAGAACTTTTGGGACAATATTCTTGATCTTTCCTAAATTCTTCCTCAATGCAATTATTCATTAAACTAGTATTTATTTCAGAAAAAAAAGAAATAAAAATGGCAAATTTTATGTTACATATATCTTACCAAATGTTTTTAAGTTGACTTAATTAACTTGCATACATACATTAGGGAATCCAACATCTGCCAATGAGGAATTTGAAAACTTGAGATGAATCATGTTAGTGCTAAATTCGCTAGCAAAGATGGGCATCCCACAATGTGAATGAAAGACTAGAGTGCCCAGGATCACTGCATTGTGCTTTAGGAGACTCTATATGAGCTTTACAAGTAACAATATAATAATTACAAATTTTCTTTACATTTAGACCCTTAACATTCTCACTTAGGAAATATTTAGAATAAGGTAAAGAGAGTATGAGGTTTATACTTTAATGTAGTCAGAGACAGGTCACAGCAACTTGCTGAAAAGACTCAGTAAACTACTTCCACAGATCAATAGGCTCCCAATGGCTTATCAGATTATATATTCTAAGACAAAATCTCTGAATTCACTGAACCTGAAACTGCAGAGATAAAGAGGGTTGTAGAAATGTTCAAGGAAATACATCCATTCTAATTTAAACATGACATGTGGGTTAAGCAGAAAGCAAGTAGACACTATTCATTTTCCATACTACTTGCCCTATTCTCAAAAATGTAATAGATTTTGAACAAATGCAGAGTTCTACAGAAATCTTTGGTTAAACGAGTCACAATTTCTGAGGTCTGGTCAAGATGGCAGAGTAGGTAAATACTATGCTTGGCTGCTCTCGCAACCACATCAAAATCACAACTAAATTACAGAATAATCATCACTGAGAATCGCCTGAAGTCTAGCTGAACAGAAGTCCTATAACTAAGGATATACAGAAGCAGCCACATCAAGACTGGTAAGAGGACCAGAAATTCAGAATAGGCTGGTCCCACACACATGTGTGGCAGTTAAAAATGTGGAGGGATATCTTGGCTGCAGAGGTCCCCCTGGAGGAGCAAGGAATCTCAGCCCCAGCCAAGGGTTCCAGTGTCAGAAGTTCCCACAACTTCTGGCTGTAAAAACCAACAGAGATTGTGGTTGAGTGATGCAGAGGGTGGCTGGAGTCCCAGGTGCTCCTCTTAAAAAGGCTGCACATAAACTTTCTTCCTGACAGACTCACTCAAAGCTCCAGTGCTGGGGCAGCAGCTCGAAAGGCTCCAGGGACATAAGGGGAGAAACTGAATTGTCTGGCTTCAGGGTGAGGGTTAGAGGGGCAGCTTTCTCCCAGACAGAAGTTCTGGCAGAAATCTATGTTCCTTTGTTGAGCCCTTCCCTCCACCTTCCATGGAGATGCAGGCTGGCACCTTATCTGAGTCTCCATCAACCAGGCTGACACCATTTGCCCCAACATGATGATTCCCTGGGACCCTGCCTCACCCCATTTGTGGGTCCACTCAAGCTGCTTACACTGGCTTTTCTTACAAATAGCCTGTCTTGGCTGCGGACTTTCCTAAAATCTCTCAAAGGTTCACAAACCCCAAACAAGCAGTTTCTGGCCTTGGTGTGCCCCATATACCTTTTGCTCAACAGCCCCAAGCCTGGCAGCCAGCCTCAGTTCACAGCTTAGCCCCTCCCAGGCACCTTCAGGTCCAGCACAAGTGGCAGCCATCTGCAGATCATTCTGTAGCTCATACCAGTGGCCCAAGGCAGCAGCTGACCTTGACTTGCAATAGAGCCCCTCCCAAAAGGCCCAAGAATCAACAAATCTGGTGGCCAGCTTCAGGCCACACCAAAGTACCACCCAACCACCTCCACACACCTGAAAGGCAGCCTCGTCAGGCACCAGAACTCTGCTGAAGCAAATACTACTTCAAAGGGTGAGCCCCTGAAAAACAGCTCCTCCACTGTAGTCACCAGCTAGTCCTCACGATGAATCAGCTTGAAGGTCAATCCTTCCTACTGATATGCCAACAGCAACCAAGGCTCATCTACAACAGGAGAATACACACAACCCATACAAGGGACACACATGGAGCACCCAGCTCAGGTGCCCAGGGAAACTGGGCCACTTGGCCACACAGGACACCTACAACACAAGCCCACTCTACTAAGACTGGGAAACACAGCAGCTCTACCTAATACATAGAAATAGCAGCTCTACCTAACACACTGAAACAAAGGAGGGCACTCAAAAGGAACATATCCCAAATGAAAGAACAGAACAAAGCTCCAAAAAAAGAACTAAACAAAATAAAGATAAGCCATCTATCAGATGCAGAGTTAAAAACAATGGTTATAAAGATGCTCAATGATATCAGTGAAAACTTCAACAAAGAGATAAGAAACATAAAAATGAAGATAGAAAACATAAAAAAGAACCAGTCAGAAATGAAAAATACAGTGCTTGCTTTGGCAGCACATATACTAAAATTCAAACAACAGAGAGATTAGCATTGCCCCTGTGCAACAAAGACATGTAAATTCATGAAGCATTCTAAACTTTTTCAAAAAAATAAAGACTACAATAATTGAAATAAAGAATACATTACAAGGAATCAACAGTAGATTAGATGAAGCAGAGGATCAAATCAGCAATTTGGAAGATAAGATGGCAGAAAACATCCATCAGAAGAGCAAAATGGGAAAAAAAAATGAAGACAGTTTAAGGGATCTCTGAGACAACATCAAGCATACCAACATTTGTATCATAGGGATACCAGAAGAAACAGAGAGAGAGAGAAAGAGAGAGCGCGTGCGCGTGTGCGTGCAAGGAATTGAAAACCTATTTCAAGGAATGACAAAAAACTGTCCTAACCTGGTGAAGGAAATAGATATACAAGCCCAGGAAGCACAAAGAATTCCAAACAAGATGAACCCAAAAGGGCCTACACCAAGACACATCATAATTAAAATGCCAAGGGTTAAAGACAAAGAGAGAATCTTAAAAGCAGCAAGAGAAAAGCAATTGGTTACCTACAAGGAAGCTCCCATAAGACTGTCAGCTGATTTCTCAACAGAAACTTTGCAAGCCAGAAGTGATTTAGCAGGAAATATTCAATGTGATGAAAAGAAAGGACTTACAACCAAGATTACTCTACCCAGCAAATCCATCATTTAGAATTGAAAGACAGATAAAGGAACTTCCCAAACAAGAAGAAGCTAAAGGAGTTCATCACCACCAAACCAGTATTACAAGAAATGTTAAAAGGCCTTCTTTAAGAGAAAGAAAAAAAAAGATAGAAAAAAGCAATAATAAAATGGCAATAACTACATTCCTAGCAATTACTTTAAATGTAAATAGATTAAATGTTCCAATCAAAAGCCAAGGTGGCTGAATGGATAACAAAAAAAAAAAAAAAGATCCTTACATACGCTGCCTACAAGAGACTCACTTCAGATGGAAACACACACAGGCTAAAAGTAAAGGGATGGAAAAAGATACTTCATGAAAATGAAAACGAAAAGAACACCCAGAGTAGCAATACTTAGACCAGATAAAACAAACTTTAAAACAAAGGCTATATGTAACAAGAGACAAAGACGGATCCAGTAATCCCACTCCTGGGTATTTATCTGAACAAACCGGAAATACTACTTTGAAGACACGTGCATCCATATGTTCACTGCAGCATTATTTACAATAGCTAAGAGGCAATCTAAGTGTCCATCAATGGATGAATAGATAAAGAGGTAGTACTTATATACAATGGAATATTACTCAGCCATAAAAAAGAATGAAATCTTGCCATCTGTAATAAGGTGGATAGACCTAAAAGATATTATGCTGAGTGGAATAAGTCAGAGAAAGACAAATGCCATATGATTTCACTTATATGTGGTCTAAAGAACAAAACAAACGAGCAAACAAAACAGAAACAAACTCATAAATACACAGAACATTTTGATGGTTGCCAGATGGTAAGGGGCTTGGGAGGATGACTGAATAAGAGGAAGGGATTGAGAAGTACAAATTAGTAGTTATACAATAGTTATGGGGATGTAAAGTACAGCATAAGGAATATAAGTCAATAATATTTATAATAATTATGTATGGTGTCAGATGGGTACTAGATTTATCTGGGGTGATCACTTCATAAGTTATAGAACTATCTAATCACCATGCTGTACACTTGAAACTAATATAATACTGTATGTCAACTATAATTAAAGAATAAAAAATTACTAAAATAAAAATAATAAAGTACAGAATAAGGAATATAGTCTATAATGTTATAAAAACTATGTATAGTGCTAAGTGGATACTACACTAATCAGAGGATCATTTCATAAATTATATAAATGTCTAACCACTATGCTGTACACCTGAATCTAATATAAAATAATGAATGTCAAGTGTAAACAAAAAATAAAAAAGAAGGATTTCTCAAAAAAAAGGTCACAATTTCTGAAAAGATTCATTACCTTTTAAATTTATTGCGCTGACATTGGTTAATAAGATTATTTAAGTTTCAAGTGTATAATATTCATTACTTTTGATGAGTATAGATACTGTGTTTTCATGTCTATAGTTGCTACTGGAATGTAAACCTCAAAGTAATCTCAAATCCCAAGCAACTATCCTAAAAATGGGATTCAGTTTGAAGATTATCAGAACAGAAAGCAAAATAAACCCACCAAGAACATTTGAAATTTGGAAACCAATACACAAATCGAAAACCCACTGCAAAGTGTTTACGTGGTTCTGTAAAAGGAGAGTTCCTCTTAAAGTACTGGGACCAAGCAACCATCAGTGATGTAAATTTGAAGTTTAAACTAAGATGTACCTAAGCTGATTTTCAACAATCAGTATAAAGAATCTTTTGATTCTCTAAATGATTTTCATTCTTCATTAGCAATAAAGCTTTAACTGTTCTGCTCATTCGGTCCTTTGCAAATATTCCTCGAGTGTTTATTCTGTCAGGTACAGTACTAAGCCCTGGGATAAAAATACAGAAATGGACAAGCCAGCACAGCCTGCCTTCATAGATTCACCATCTAGTGAGTAGTAAATATATTAAATAAATGATTGTGCAAACATTAATTATAATTGTAGTAGATGCTATGAAAGAAACTACACCAAACTAAGATGCAGTCGTCAACTGGCTCTAGGATCTTGGACCTCTGCTTCCTCATTAATAAAACTAGGAGGTAGATCTAAATATTTTAAGATCCTTTTAATTTAAAATTTTTATAAATCTAAAAGTATAAAACTTTGATTCCAGAGTCCCTTTGTCAGGATATTTACATAGAATCTGTTAGCAATGTAATATAATCTCCATCTCCTAACACATAAAGATTTTTGGCACAAAAATACAGTTAAGTCCTCAATGTCATCAAAAGGTTCTGTGACTTTAAGTGAAACAATGTACAACAAAACCAATTCAACCATAGGCTAATTGATATAAAACAAGATTTAAGTCCTATGGCATCTCATCAATATTATAACAAAATGACAATATTCAAGGACCTGCTGTATATAGTTGGGTGGAAAGTAAAGTAATCCTGTTACAAATGTTTAAGTCGAAATTCCATATATTAAATGTATTGTGATGTTCTAAACTACAAAAAATGAGAGAAAATGGTGCCCATAAATTATGCATACATATGAGAATTACTAGAAAACTCTTTAAAATGCACATTCCCAAGCCTCATCCAAAATCTACTACAGAATATTCAGACTGGGAATCCACACTTTTGATAAGCTTCTCAGGTTATTCTAATATACACTAGTGTTTTAAGAATTTGAGCACAGAGCAGAACATATTATGAAAAACAGTTTCAGAGTAAAACACTTCAGAATAAGAACTGTAATAAATTTACCTGTGTAGCCTTGTCTCTCATGCAAGGAGCAGCTTGCCCATGACTATCACGAGGCCAGTGCCCTGCAAGGTACGGAGCAGCAAGTGTATCCAGAGAGGAAGTGCGGCGGATTATAGCAGAGGGGCTCGAAGAAGGTGGTCGTGTTTTGTCACCTGGATTTAAGACAAAGATATTTATTTAAAAAATAGATTAGGAAGGAAACAAAGTAGAAACTAAGTTTTAAACTATGTAGAAGTTCTCTAAAATATAAAAAACAAACAATAAAAAGAAATAAGCTACTGATTCACACAAACTTGGATGAATCTCCAGAGAATTATACTGAGCGAAAATAGTTGATCTCAAGTGTGTAAGTTCATTTATATAAAAATTTGAAATGACAAAATTTTAGAAATGGAGGTAAGTTTAGCAGTTTCCAGGAGTTAAATATAAGGGAGGAAAAATGAAGTATTAGGAGAGAAGCAGATGTTCTAAACGGTCAGCAGAGGAAACTCCTGTGATAAGGAACTATTTAATATCTTGACTTATGTGGCAGATATGCAAACATACAAAGAAGAAAGAAAATTAAACAGGATAGAATTACATACATGTGCACACACACATGTAAGTACAAGTAAACTGAAGAAATGTGAAGAGCAGTGGGTTGTACAATGTCAATATCCTGGTTGTGATGTTTTATAACAGTTCTATGAAATGCTGTCATTCAGGGAAACTGGGCAAAGTATACAAAAGAGCTCTCTGGTAGTATTTCTTACAACTGCAATTATCTTTACAAAAAAACCCACAAATGTATATCCATTTTAAAACATTCATCTTGGCTTTAAGATTAAATAGGTATGACATGTAAAATACTCATTTATCATATCATTTATACTCAAAAGGATATGAGAAAACTAAAAGTTACAAGTAAACTTTCATTTTAAACAGCTCTATAAGACACATATCTTAGTAAGATTTTTACAATAAGTAGACTGTAAGAAAACATATTAACCAGGCTGTAGGAGCTATAATTGAAGTCACATATGCAAAAATCTTTTCCATTTCAAGCTACAGGATGTACTCAGATATAAGCCAAAAATAAAAACTAAAAAAACTAGAGGTAACAGGAAATTAGAGGTTATGTAGAAGAAACATCCTTGTATCTCCTTTTGATGGGGGAAGGGAGTAGGCTTAATTTATGCTGTAAAATAAAAAGTAATAATAATAAAGGGCTTAAAATATAAAAATATATGCATATGTATGATTATATTATAATGCTATCATTCTAATTTTATATAACAAATACCTTGCTCTCCTTAAGGCCATATATGAAAACATGCTAAATCACCTCTCTTCTACTTGGTATTACATTATGTCTTAATAAGAGTCTTGTATAGTTACAAGTATAAAAGTTCAGTTGCTGATTATGTGACCCAAATAATAAAAGATTCAATTCCACTAAGATAACAGTTACAGCAGCTGTGTTGCTGATAATCATTAATGCTGCTTTACAGATATGCCTCAGATAAATAATTTGCTTTCAAAATGGCATATTTCACCAAAACAATGCCTAATTGTTATAAATGCTAACCATCTCTGCATACAGTCCTTTTACAGTAAACTGAAAAGAAATGCAGTATATAGCCATAAGTTCAAGAAAGCATGTCCCCACATTATTAATTGTGACAAGTGAAAAGCAATAAACATTCATATTCGTAATTCTTCCTCCAATCTTCTTGTGACTGTCCCAACAGAGATTAAAAAAATTAATCTCTGTTGGGACAGTCACAAGAAGATTGTTCTAAGCTGGGGGAAAAAAAGGCAAATACACTATGTAAACTGGTGTATATTCATTAAAATCAAATTGCTAAAAGCTGTCGGGCACTTTTCTTCCCTATGCTGCTGCTTCAGTCACTCACCAGTACGACTAATCAAACAGACCTTACTAATGAGTTTGATTTACTTCTCAAAACTTTTAATTATCTAAGAGTTGACCTTTCAACTAGACTTCCTAAGACTAATAAATTTTCTATAATGAAATGGAAAATAGAAAAGTTACACATAGTCACATGTAAAAATACTAAACGTTTTCTTTTCTGAACTCCATTCCTATAACTCATCCATTTACATATTTACTAAGGGTCTGTGAGCCAGCACTAAGCCCTAGAAATTAAAAAGACTTAAGTTATAGTCTGCTCTAAAGAACACACAGTTTATATCTAGTTTGTCATTATTTCATTTCAATCCACATTTCCAGAATTGACAGGATTTAGTGCTTAATTACAAGGGAGTTAAAAAAAGGGAAGAAAGCCTCAAGAGTCAAAGATGACGCAAAGATTCCCAGCCTACATGAACAAAGGTTGTATTTTGTATTTATAAGAAAGTCCACAGGAAAAGACTCTGACAGCTGAGAAGACCCTTCATGATCTCATCTCTCCAGCCTCACTTTCTTGCCACACTACTTCAACTGCTATCATGCTGAACAACCTGCAGTTCCCAACATGTGCCATGTCCTTGCATGCCTCCAGGACTTTGTCTCTATCTTCATATCCCTTTCTTTGGTTTGGCTAATTCATGTTTAAGAAACACATCAATTTCTAGGTCAAAAGCCCTCCTGTGTGCTGCCATAGCATGGTTCACTGAAATGGTTCCTTGACTGTTCCAGTGTTCCATGAGAGAGTGCAATATTGGAGAGAAGGAATTTTACTTTCACCCATTCCAGTGATTAAGACAGTAGCTGACATATAGGCAGAGAAAAAAATGACTTCTAATGTTACTATCATTATCAACTGCCAGTTGCATGCAATAAATAATAAATTCAGATACTCTTTTGTTACTCTAAAGTAAATAAACAAATACTGCATGGTATCACTTATATGTGGAGTCAAAAAAAAAAAAGTGAAAGTTACAGAAACAGTAGAGTAAAAAAGAGGTTGCCAGGTAATGGGGGAAATAGGGAGAGGTTGATGAAAGGGTATAACTTTCAGCTCTAAGATAAATAAGTAAGGTCTGAGGATGATATATAACATGGTGACTGTAGTTGATAACACTGATATATAACTGAAATGTGCTAAGAGAGTAGAACTTAAATGTTCTCACCAAAAAAAAAAAAGAATACATGAGGTGATGAATGTGTTAATAAACTAGATGTGAGGAATCCTTTCCACAATGAATACAGTATCAAATCAACACTTTAAATATCTTACAATTTTAATTCTACCTCAATAAAGTTAAAAAAAAAAAAACCAAGTAAATCAAAACAATAAAACAAAGGTTCAAACTTAACTTTGTTTTTTAAAAATCAATTTTTTTTTTATAAATTATCTTCAGCAGGGTGTAGCATTTAAAATTTCAGTCAATGCCTTGGGCTCTGGAGTTCAAAACTTTCCAAACATCTGGACCAGTTCAACTGGTTCCTGTGTAGCTTCAATAGCAATACTACAGCATCCCAAACCATGGCCCCTAGGTATTACAAAGGTTCTACAGACCTTGTTAGATTGGTTCTTGTAGAACTTGATTGGGTACTGGCTTAGAGGCTATACTTCCTGTTATCCACAAAATCATTAACAAGCAGAAGAGATATATTAGACACATTCATGTATTCAAAAACAAAGGGAAAAAAAACCTTTCCTTTTTTAGACATAAAAATGATAAATATCCAGAACCAAAAACAGTACCAAAAACAAAAAACCCCATCAGCCACCACTCAGAGAAAAACATTTAATGAGTATTTCCAGAACTCCCTACACTTATATACACGTACAATTTTATATAAATGAGGTCCTACTGACATGCTAGTACTTACTGTTGAGAAATGAAATGGGCATGTTGACAACCTATTCCCATTGCAATAAATATAAATCAATAATACATCACTCTTTTTAATAGCTATATAGTATCCCAGGACATACCATAACTTAATCCCATACGGACAGACATTTTCAGTGGCCAAAATATATATTTTTATGCTTATTTTCTTGTAAAAAAATTTCTAGACATCAAACTGTATATCCAAGGATACACAGATTAAAATTTTAAGTACTGCCAAATTGCCTTCCACTACAAAGAATTTTGACCTCATAATAATACTCATTTGCCAACATTCTGAAGTATATTTTATCAATTTTTGCCAATCTATAAAAGATTTTAAAAATACTACTTTATTTGCATTTCAATATTAAGTTCTAAAATAGCCATATTTTACTGGCAATTTACCAGTACTTAAAAAATATTACTTCTAATCTCTTTTCTTAATCTCATAGAGATCTTTTCCTTTGATGAAGAAACATTTAAATTGCAGGAGGTTCCTTCAGTTTCATTTTAGCTTCCTTCTCTTTTAATAAATTCAAGTAAAATTAAATGTAAATGACTTTATCTTAATGTGCATAGTGACTAAATCCTTATAAAAGTATATGTATACTTACTCTGCTGTCTAAACTCTCCGACACACCAGATACATGCACCTACACACGTAGGTACACACACACACAAACAAAATGTATCCAGAAAGAAATACAAAAAACTGATGACACTGGCTGCCTCCAGGAAGGGAAACTGGATGGCTGGCAGACAGAGAGGTACAAGGGAGATATTTCACTGTCTATCCAAATATATCTTTTAAATTTGACATGTGAACTTATTATCTGTATTTTTAAAGTTCATAACCATTGATTCAATGATTCTATATATATATCTAGGTATGTACACAGAATAATCAAATGTGGAAAAGGGCTTTAAATCCAAAGATACTCATTATATTTGCAATAGTAAAAATCATAAATAACATGTCCAAAATTGGAGAATAAGGAAACTAATGGAAACTAAATCACGATTAAAGATATTAAATTTATGTTCTGAAATGATAAACTTACATGAGAACTTATTTATAATCTATGAAAATTCAGAAAAAACATATTTCCATACTTTATTTCTAATTTTGTTTCTTCAGTTAATTTCTCCACTTGGTTTTCAATAAAACGTTAACAGAAAACTAATAACTGATACAGACACAGTAGTATCTAATTAATAATTAATCCTAATAAGAACTAAATGGTTAATTTAACCAAACTCATTTCCTGTAGACATAATATCTTAGAAAAAAAAACTATTATAGAAAATTTTAAGTCCAATTAGTAACTATCCTTTTGTTAAACGTAAGGTTTAGTTTACATAA